AGAAAACTTTTTTCAGTGGATTGCGTGTCGTTTCTCAGGCAGGGATTGACAAACAGGGTATAATTTTTCATCGTTGATCAATGCTGATTCCTGTTATATTTGAAAAATAGCTTGCAAGTGTCCAATCCACGTAATGGTTGCAAATGGTGACAAGAAGGAGTAACCCATCACAAAATCTCTCTTGCAAATGTGTTTACTCTATGCATATTTAGATACACGCGGGTTACACATCTGTGCAAATTCCGCGCAACCGTGACCAGAAGCAATATTTCACAATATTTATTCATTCATTATCACTCATAATGATGGCTCATCATGATTTCAAGCGAATATTTAGTATGATCTATATTCGACATTAGTTTACCTCTAAAATGCAAAAGGGTCAAATGAAGCAAGCATCATCGTAAAACGGATGGTTGTTAAAGACGCTAACGGTTCGAAAACTGACTCAAATGTATGCATGTCTAGTAGTCGAAATACGGCTCGAACAGAGGTGCTCGTTTTCCGAATCTAAATGAATTATTCATTGTACTAATTCAGATGAGATTTTTGAAATAGTTGTATTCACCTAATTGGCTCACGAGGGACACGTTTGCCAAATCGGATTGGTTCACCACGAAATCGCTTGAACTGTTGACGAGCTTCCATAGCGGCGTCTGACTGCGATGAAACAGCTGATGCCTGAAAAGCAGAATATTCACAAATCGTTGTTTTAGAGATGAGTAGCAACTTACAAGCAAGCTCAAGATTGCCAGGACGACAAAGGTCACCATGGACTTGCTGATCATTATAATACCTGAAACAAGTGGGACCTAAGGCGATTCATGATCCAGAAGATGAGCGAAAAGATCTTCAGTCTGGGACTGATAGTTTAGAGAAGAGTACAAGCTATTGAGTGCGTCGACATGACGAAAATGAGAAGCAAAGCATGAGGTGCAGGGGCAAGGCATCGGCCTCGTTATGAGAATGGTGTAGCATTTCGACGGGGCGGTTGACATTCCTCTTCTCGAAACTACATGACAGAAATTGGATGACACAAGAGCCATGTTGGGAGAACTGCGCTGAAACCAAGGTGTTTGTTCGTACACTACTGAAGACACTTCGATGATGTAACACAGATTGAATTAGCAACGGAGTCCGACAGGCTCATCGAAAACATGACTTAGATCCATTTTGGAGCAATAGGTAGTTCTGAGCTGAGCGGCTGGGACTCTGACGAAAATGCGAGCAGAAATAAAGATGAGAAATTGGAGTGAAAGCCTCTATAAGCGAAAATGTTCAAGTTTCATTGCAGGACCGATTGAAACCCGGAATGATGCTGCTGGTGGACACTTATGAAAAGAAGATTGAACAGGATGAGGATCTGAAAAGACGCATAGCACAATCAAGACCACACAAGAAGCTTACGTCGAAGAGAGTATATTTGGACCTACTCAGAAAGGATGATGTGGTATGAATCATAATATATTTCCCTTTTGGGACATATACTTGTGATGTAGTTTAATCTTTTAGTTATCGCACGGCGCTGTAACGAATGAGTTTCTTATCAAATGCCACCTGGAGGCGTTAGGAATTGAAAGCTCTAAGAAAAAGGACGTCCATTTGGATTCGGATCGACGTCTACCGCTCTACGCCTACACTCATGACACCTTCAGCCTCTTGCTCGTGCCAATGATTAAGGAAAAGTATGTTTACAATACAAAGGCGCAACTCCGAAGGAGTAGCCAATTTTTGCGATGTTAGTTTCATTAAAAATTTGAATGAGTCAAGAGAAGATATCATCAAATTTGTGTATTATGGGGCAGGCGTGGATAAAGGGTGATTAGAAATAGCAACTCATGGATTAAGCTAGTCCTTGACACATTCCACTAGCGACTGATGAATAAAAAGGAATGGGAGGCATCTGATAATGCAGTTACGTCAGTTATGGCAG